GATAAAGGATGTGTTCAATCGGGAAGTCGGTGATGTTGCCAAAGAGTGTATTTTGTAAGAGCTAGTGAGATTACACGAGGTCAAAATTTCAGTCAATTTAGTAAAAAAAACACTTAGGAGACAAAGTTAAGTGAAATTCGATTGTATCATGAGGCTATGCGTAAAAACTCCACCACTAGTCCTTAACTCACTCTTAGCGACCTGGGGGAATAATTCTATATTCAAAATTACCGGTAGTCCCAAAAAGTATTCAAGTATTTTACGCAAAAATCCAAGAAAAACAAGATAATCCTTTGTTGCCCGAAGAAGCCACTTCTATAATACATTTGCCTAAGCTTGAAAAAAAATATAGGCCTAATGGCATATCAACTTTCCAGTAAGTAATAAGTGTTTTTATTGAGCTTGAGTAACAAAGAAATCGGATGGTTTTGAAGGTTATGACGAAACGATTTACTGAGAAGTAAATAGATAAAAAGCTAAATAAATGAGGAAAGTGAGTAAAAAACGGAGCTCAGACAAAAAGTAAAATTGCAGTCAAATAACAAGTTATAATAGTGCAAAAATATTTACATATCACGATCTGGGCTGTTTATTCGACTAGCTCAACCTCCTCGACTTCACTTTCATCTGTACTAGTATTCTTAGAAGAAAGAGTTTCGGAGTTCGTCCTTTTGGCTCTCTTACTTTGTAAGGCTCTCTTTTTAAGTCGCTTATCTCTCTTTTTAGCAGTCTTTTCTCGATTCATTCTCTTCAGTTCTTCGATTTTCTTTAAGAAATCAGCATCTTTTGCCTCTTCCTCTGCCTTTTTATCGAGATATTCTTGTCTCGCATATTCCCGTCGTCTGATGCCACGATAGATGTGAAAGTCACCGCTACCTACTCCCGCAGCGGATCCTGCAAGAACGAATAGCAAGTCGCATTACTTACCCCAGACATTTCGTACGAACTCAGGCGGAGGTTTGAGACCATTTGAATGGTCCATCTCAGGGATAATTATAGGCTTATCCTACGGAATATAAACAAAATGTATGACAACATACAGGCTCAGCCATCAATCTATCAATTTTTAACTTAACCAGCTCATATGTGGTGAGCTTAAATTTATTGCCACACTTCTCAATTTCTTCCTTACGACCAGGTGGCATATTATCTATCATACGCTTCATGCCTGAGCTACTAGGAGTCGGCGCAGTTGAAAAAACCCGGGCATAAATACAGCAGGCACATTTCGTAGCAATATGGTATAATATTAAACAATTTTGTTAATTTTTAAATAAATATAGCGTTTTGAAAGGTAAATTAACCAAAAAAGGCTTAGTCCTTTACTTGTAATTCTCCATGTGTGACCTTCCCTTGATCCTCGGGGGCTGTACGGGTTGGTGACTTTTACTCCCTTTTATTAACTACAAGCTCTGCGTTTGGAAATAGCCAATGGTGTTGAGCATTTTTTATATGCGAAAAAGCTGAAGCATTCAAGCGTACTATTCTATAACATACATCCTCTGCTTGACGAAGTTTGTTGCACCCGCTTTTATTTTAGAGTTCCTTCTCTAGGCTTATGCTTAGGTTTGGTAAATACGTCTCAATAAAAAGAAGTGTGGTATGCAAACTTTCACTTTTTTATCTTTAGCAATATTGTAAAGCTGTCGTAAAGTTCAGACTTGCATCGTCATGCGAGAAGATAGTCTCCACTGCACTTTCCAGGAAATTTACTGTGGGACTGAGCTATCTGAACGTAGAAGGTACTTTTTGCTATCCATTTGACTGGCTCCACAC